AACAATAGAAATATACCTCAAGGGAAAGGTGATACAAAGATCAGGAGGACATAGGTTTGAAAGGATAAAGTGATAATGCATGAAAAAACAACTCTAAAGTCACGATTAGGCAATTGAAATGGTCATTTGGGATGAAGAATATGAAAGGATCATAAAGAGATAGCATAGAAGTCAAAACCTTCATATACATCAAAGAGTGAAAGGGAGCAGTGAAGGATGCTGTATATAATGCAAGAAAGAAGCCAAACCTTTCAAAAATCCATGTCAAAAAACTTGAAACAGAATACACCACTGTTAATATCTAGTCCATTTCCATCGATATAATTCCATAGTAGGTTGATGGAGGATATAATCCAATAAATGGAACCTGTAGAATTTAAATCCCTATGGTTGGGCAAAGGACTGCATAACTTCCATGCATGAAGCTGAAGTCGTTAAATGTCCAGATGTTGAATGTTGGACTGAGGTTGTCCCAACAAGGATGAATGAAGAGATAGTGGTGAACATTCCTGGAGCAACTGAAAAAGAGGAAACCATGTCCGAGCAGGCCAAAAAGGTGCTGACAAGAGAACCTAACATGGGGTGAAATGAATCATAGACAAGAGTCTGGGTAAGAGATGAATAGGAGGAAAGGCATACAAATGGAATCCTGTCCAGTCTTGACTGAAAGCATCTATTGCCAAAGCATGTGGATATGGAATTGGAGACCAGAACTGTAGGATAGCATTCTAATGCGTTGTAAAGGTGTCTATCATTGGAGAGCCAAACTGAGAACAAATCCACTGAAAGACCACCTGACGGAACATCCATGCTGGTGGAAGAATCTGATGGGGTCGAGAAATGTGATCTGCGATCAAAATCATAACCCCTGGCACATGACAGGCCAAAAAATAGGTGTCATTGGAATGAGCCGAAAAAGAAGATCCCAAGCCCGAAAACCAAGACGAGAAAGATATGAAACTACTATGGAGTAGTCCGAATGAATCATGACCATTTATTCATGTAAGAGAAAGGAAGACCTGGAATCATCACTAGATGTACTGCAAAAAAGTTTGAGAATGTTGATATGCAGGGTAGATCTGTAGTCGGGCCAAATACCCTGGAATGCCTACTCCAGAAGAAAGGCTCCCCATCCATGAAGAGAATCATCCATGAAGAAATGGATTTCCACATGAGCTGGTAGTATCCAGACCCTGATGTTCATGTTGTTCCTGTCTAGCCACCATTTGAGATTTGCAAATTATTTGAGCAAAGAGAATGTGTGATCCAAAGGATCGGTATGCATGAGCCACTGGTCACGAAATAACCACTTAAAAGATCTCATATGGGACTGATCCAATGGTATGATGGATTTTAGAGAAGCACAAATCCCCAAAACAGACAGAACCATCCATGCAATGGGAGAACATGACATAAGCAAATGCCTGACAATCCATTCCCTAACGTGAATCTGAGGGGAGAAGGTTGAGCTCGACTCAAAGTGCATTGAAAAACACCCCAAGATGGACTATGTATGGAGTTGGAGAGAGAATGGATTTGTCCAACCTGATATGAAGTCCACCCTCCTGGCTTCTGAAAAGAGTCTGTGGATGTAGTGTGGCAATGTGAGAGATTGGTGTCAAATGAAGTAAATCTTCCAAATAGCAATGCGTGCACAACCCAGAAAATGAAGACGCTGCTCAAAGGCCCGTACTACTCAGCAGAAAACATATGGTGCTGTAGCAAGTCCAAACAGGAGAGCTCGGAACTTCTACATTTGGTCCTCGTGCAAAAAAATGTAGAAATCGACAAGAAGACTATGCTATGGGGATTTGAAGGTAGATGTCTGTAACATCAAAGTGGACAATCCTTCTGATCAACCTGAAGAAGTCCAAAAGGCAACATCCATGGCTTGGATTGGCAGGATCATATATGCCATACCCCACCCAAGTGCATGCTGTCTGTCTGTGATTTCTATTTGCAATATAAGGAACCACCTATTTTCTATGTGGTTTTGCTAGTTTGCCTGATTAAAAAGATTGCACATGCACGCACGCACGTGGATAAGATAAGTAATAACACAGGTGCACACCCTCAGTGTCCACTTAGCATGGATGCAAGATTTCAAGTTTATAGGTTCTTTGTTCTTGGTGCTATAGTGGTCACATATTCCTTCCTATGTGGTTTTTTGCTAGCTCGCCTCACAAAAAATGCAAATGCACGCGGATAAGTAATAATACCCAAGTGCACACCCTCAGGATCCATTTAGTATGTGTGCAAAATTTTAGGTTTCCAGGTTATTTCCTCTTTGGAGTTATGATGGTCACACACACACACAGACACATCCTTTTATTATTATAGATATTATCTAGTAGTGTATGGGATGTTCTAGACCTCTGTCAGGGTATCAACATGCGGCGGATATTAGATAGATCTAGAATGCGTGATTGTGAGTTTTGAGATAAAGGAGCATAGAGTGGCAATATTTCAAGAGCAATTATCACAGATTGTATTGTAATAACAGGGTAGATAAGAAATAATTTGTCTTGTCAAATTCTGTTCTAAAGTAATTGAACCAGCCTGGGTGAAATTTGATGAAACAGAGAATTATTTAAAATTTTGAATATAGCTGTGATAATTAACAGTGTAACCAACATTTGTATATACATTTGACTTGATTTAATATATTATTTTAAAACAAGTGGACTGTTTGCTGTTTTTATTGTTTAAATTTATCACTAACAAGTCACAGACACCTACTGTAAAGAATCTGGCCCATATATAAAACCCGACAAACAGCTGGAATGAAGATTTTCTTACTTGACTAATACATGTTAACAACTTTTTAAAACAGCTTGAGTGAATATTTACTTGCATTGTTAATAGATGGAGTGACAATTTACCTTATCATATTGGGTGCACTTTTCAAAGATTTTTGTTGGGCTTCTACCTTCTCTTTTCTCAAAATCTCACACATTGACTGAAAGTTAAAAAAACTATGAATTAAAATACAGATAAATAAGTGTACCAAACATAGCTGAAGTCCATTGTTAATAAGGTTTAAATATATGACACTGTGAACACATATTGAATAATAATGTGAACATAGCACAACTGAGTAAGTTATGGAATAATGAAAAATTAATGGTCCACCTGAAACTACAACATTTGAATAACACTATGAATATAGTTAAATCATACAATACATGAAGTACAGGTGAATTATAGTATAAAGTTTGTTTGTAGTTAATTACAAAGCTACACAATGGGCTACCTGACCATCATCGGTTATTAGTGCAATGAGCCTTCAGACTTATCACTGAGCCACTAGAGGGTAAAGTGTAAGGTACAGGCAAGCTACAATGTAAATAAAGTGCAAATAAGTTATGCTGCAAACAAAGCTAAATGATATCGTAACTACAGATGAAATACAGTATATATAAAGTAACATTATATGATATAGTTCAATAACAATGTGACTGAGGTATAGGTGAATTATTATAAAGTAATAGTATATGACATAGTTCAGTAACAGTGTGACTGAGGTATAGGTGAATTAAAGTATATGTATAAAGTAACAGTATATGATATAGTTCAGTAACAGTGTGACTGAGGTATAGGTGAATTACAGTATATATAAAGTAACAGTATATGATGTAGTTCAGTAACAGTGTGATTGAGGTATAGGTGAATTACAGTATAAATATCAAGTAACAGTATATGATATAGTTCAGTAACAGTGTGATTGAGGTATAGGTGAATTAAAATGTAAGCATGACAATGTTAAAAATACAACGTGAGCAGGACAATGTTAAAATTGCAATGTCTACATGATAGTGTTAAAACTACAATATAAAAATGATGCAGCTGAACTGTTTGTAAAGCAGGTTTGACTTACTAAATCATAAACAATCTTTTTGTTATATAGTTACTAAGCCGCATATGCTTGATCTTATAAAACAACACATTATCTCTGTTGGACATTACTATTGTTAAAATATTCTTTTTTATTGTTTAATGTCCAATAATGATATTTTTGTCAATGGAACTCACTTGTCAATATTAATAGAATTTGTTAAGCCTGACAAAGACCAGATGTTGAAATATATATTTTTTAATACTTATTGAGTTTTTAAGTCCTTCTAACTCTTCATTTATTATTCTAAATCAATTTAGGTCTGTGAATAATGTTTGTCATTCTGCCAAATTTAGTCAATCAGTATTATAAAGAAGGCAATTTTATCTTCTTGATATCTCTATCAGACAGCTAGCTACTTTTTCTTTTAAACCAAAACTGTGTCCCAATCTTCTGAAGTGAATGAAATACTTAAGTTACACCGTTAACAAGGCAAAATATATAAAAATTAAACTATAATCAAACTGTAGTTTAATTACATTGTCCATAAAGTATCCTTGCATGCTATTTATAACATAATTACCCTAGTTATCAACAAGGTAGAGTTGAAAACACTACAAACATAGTAAAGTAAAAGTGAAATGTAAATTAAGTTACCTGAGCATACGCAATGAAAAACAACTTGTCATAATTTCCAACGCCAGGCAAAGAAAAGGTATCATCTTCTCTTACAACATATTCTTTGTAGGCCTACAGAAGATCCAGAATAGCAGACAAATTACTACACTATATTTTTGTAAGTTGTTCACTTTTTAACAACACCAAATTATTGCTAACTAGATTAATTCATTATTAATATCATTGTTGAAGATAAATCTTAATATGATTAAAAGCCATTCTTCTAACATTTACAATGTTCATCAAAAAGGTGATCCTAAAAAAAGTAATGTTGTAACATCCCTCCTGACTTTAGTCATTTGTCATTTGTATTTCTCCCACAATTAAGCCTGACTTGCATGACCAGCAGTTGAGTAGTTTCAGCTATTAAAATCAGTTACATAGCCACATTAATGTTTCATTAACCCTACGTGCACAGGTGGGGTTAAAGCATATATGACATGACATTTAACAAAAGGCCATTCAACATAGTATTATGTATTTAATCATAGTTATAGACAGTTCATTTTACCCTACATTGCTGCTTCAGCAACAGTTCATGGTAGAGGAGAGTAAATACCAGATACAGTGCACAGGGATGCAGAAAAAAATTGTGGATATGCATTTTGGAAGTTCTGGAGACTATGAAAGTACAATATACAAAGTGTAATATGTACATCGGTATGAAAAACACCTAGCACTACGACTTGACAGAATCTGAGTTGTCAATTCACAGACATACCTTCTGTAATACATCTGATTTTTTGTGTACAACAAACTTGTACATTTTACTAAAAGTTTGCCATATTTCATGTAGATACATGGAATAAACTTATATTTACATTCAACATTCATTCTCAAGTACGAGATCCATCCAACGGACTGACCACATTCGATTATGAAAGTGGTTAATTAAAGGCTTAGCGTTACATCATAAATTAACAAGTGACTTCATTGAAATTTTCCTTTGCTCTTGTAACAGGTTAGCGCTCAGGTGAGCTTAATTGTTGGAGTTTCAATTAAAACCAACCTGTACACCAAATTTATTTGTTGGAGGATTTTGTCGGGACGAGTGGAGCCACAAGTCGCTAACTCCAGGAGTTTACAGTTAGAGTAAAGAATATGAGTCTCAGACCAGCAATACAATTCACAAATAACTTTTATTAGTCTCTAATACACCTTGCATAATAGTTACTATTAACTCTTTAACCATTGAACATTTGAACATTAATAACACTTCTTATACAAAAGCTGATCTAGAGAGAGAGATACTTACTGCAGAGTTGGAACCTTCTTAGCAGAGTCCAGATTATTGAGCTGCATAGCTATGGCTGGTAGAACTGGCTGGAGAACTGGGTATCTTCAGAACTTGCCGGAGATCTGACTTTCCAGCTCCTGACATGGGTTTATATAGCAGAATTTCTCTGTATCCTGGCGATTATCCAAATAGGATACAGCATCACCCACAAGTAGTGCGGTGCTCCTATTGGATGCTTGGAGGCAAGTTTTGGACTGATCTGGTACCACACCCAAAAACCCTCAGGCTATTGGTCATG